TCAAATTTTTTTATATTTAAGTTTTAAAAACTTTAAATTTTCAAGCTTTGGTATATTTAAATTTCTGCAATTTCAAATTTTCTAATTTTTTAATATTTCAATTTTTGAAACTTCAAATTTTCAAGCTTTGGTATATTTAAATTTTTGCAATTTCAGTTTTTCAAAGTTTAAAAATTTTTAAATTCGAAGGAGCGAGATTCGAACGAAATCCAAGCGACACCTCGCATTTCCACGAAACGACGTGTTCCTCGAACCCGAGGAAAACTTCCGCTATCAAGGGGAAAACGAGGTTTTAAACGGTCTCGTGTACGGGATGCCGGCGGGGTCTCCGGTTGCACAGTGGCCGTTCTCTCGCGACACGCGTAACTCGAAAAAGTGAATCGAGCTAAATTACCGTAAAGGCCTGTGTGTGTCACAACGTGTCTTTTATCATGCAAGGCCACTGCGTCATCGAGCACAGACGCACCGCTCGCGTGCGCCGCGCGGACATACGTGTGCGAAACACGCTCGCATTTCTGCCACACGACACTCATTTTCCTTCCCTTCCTTTTCCTTCCTTTCTCTCTTTATCTCTCTCTTTCTCTCTCTTTCCGTCTCTCGTACACCATTAATTTTCAACATATTTTTCTTCGTGTAATGCGATAATTTTTCTACTTAATTTTCTCTCATTTATCTCCTATTTCCTCATTTATACGTATCTCCTCTTATCTGTTTTTCCGTCCAACCTTCTTTTTTTTTTCGTATTTTTATCAGCTATCGTTGCGCACGCTCCTCTGAATGAAGCACAGCTGTCTCATCGTTCAGTCACGTGAGTGAGCTGGATGACTCGTGTAATTCGATGCACGAATATTTGATGAGCTTGTAATTTGTACGAAGCTGATCAACTCGATGCGTCTAATAACCCTTTGGATTCCTTCAATTTTCTCATATATACTCTAATATTGCTGTGTAATATGTACCTATTTATAACACACGCATTTCACTTGCGATAACAGTGACGCAAGTCGAAGAGCATAAATTTCTCGATGGAAGCAGGTTTCGGTGTACTTTTTCCCCACCGAGAGAGAGGATCGTTCGTAATCAAAACAGGTGATTATTTACGACAAAGATAGTAATTCCTCAAACTTTAACCCATTTTCACCCAAGATTTACCTCCATCGAGTTCACTTGCAAACCTCCTGGAGCCACTCAGACATTCAAATTTTATTCGGAACGTCTGGAATACGCAACTCGTGGCACTTCAACCGCCATGTGTCATAAACAGCTCTATTAAACGAAGCTTGCTGAAGCTCTCAGTCGTTCGACTGTGAATAATTCGCATGACTCTTTGTTTGAAAAATACTTCGACTAAAATAAATTCAACGAAGTAAAGAAAGAGAGAAAAGAAACAAGAGAAGGGGAGAGATTTCTAATAAAATCCATGACAAACGACTGTTACTAATCAACTTCGCTCCTCCCAGTAGGATAGATCGAGCCATCAACGAACAAATAACTCGTTATCTGATAAGAGTACGCTGATGGTTAATTAATCGCGAAAATATTCAGCAAAGAGAAACGTATGTATACACACGAGACAGAGAAAGAGAGAAATATAAAAGAGAATTTCTCGACGTGACTTTCAAGCTTCGTTTTCGTGCTTTTGACGGATTGCGAGGACGCTCTGTAAACTCGTCCCATCCACGATAACGATTTAATTGTTTTATTAATGGAGGATGATGAGCCACATTGCACGCGAGATGCTTTGGTGCCGGAGAAATAGAGCTGCAGCAGTTTTATGACCAATTGATGCTGCTTCAATTTTAATTTCCTTTTTTATTCCGAGTATATGTGTTCAGTGTTAAATTGTTGGCGATGTGTTGGGGTAATGAGTAGCCATCAATTTTGATAATTCCAGGTCAGGGATCCTACGGTTGATAAATGATTGATTAGCTTTGCATCGAAATTTTTACGTTGAAATAATTTCTTTTTTTTTTTTTTTAACGACTAAACAAAGTAGCGAACTTACAAACATTTTTTCAGGAAACTCTAAAAGATCTGCATTAAGTAACACTTCAGAAGCTCGATTTCTCGATAATCGTAAAATTTGAGCTTACTCGCAGCTTATCCCGTGTTCCGCCCATATTTCTTCTGACTTCTTATCTAATCGACCGTCTCCAGAAAAATGAAAATCTTAACAGGGAACTGGGGTGGCCAGGGTCTAATGCCAAGTAGAGGAGGACGCTTAGTGGAAATCTTCCTAGCATTCCTAGCTGTTGACTTTTCGACAGATACTACGTTAGCGTTGATAACGAGAAATTGTTCGAGCAAACGCGATCATCAATAAATCATCATCGATCACCTATCAATTTTTTTTACTCAACTAATACGTATTAAACTATTATTAAATATTCCACACCTATTGACCCTTTCTTGACCGAATTATTTTTTCAAAGAATTTATTTGTATCTACCGATACAAATGGATTCTAAATTGAGATCAATTTTTGTTCGAATACTCAAGCGAAAGGGGTTAATCTAACGTTGAAATTCGAAGGTGAAATAAACTTTTCACGCGAAGACGAGTTATCACTTCTATTTCATCCAAAGTTCAACAGTGTCTCCTGTATAAATCTTCAGGACAATCAGATATGAATCTTTGAAGAACAGCCTCGATCATTCCAATTTTATTCCACCACTTAAGAAATTCTCCTTATCGATTTAACCTATTTTTTTTTTATCTTATACCATATCGGAATAGTCCAGTTCAATATATATAGATATATATATGTCGCGGTGTTTCGTTTCAATTCGTGGTATTTCGGTTTAACCAGGGCTCATTCTCTTCGTTCAACTTATATTTAGCACAGTTCGCCTGGTTAGAATAAACACGTCAAAGTGTTTGCCTTGCTGGTACATACATCGCCTCAGAAACTATGATCCATTCGGGAATCCAAAGTACCTGGAATCATTATAAAAATGCCGTATGATTCTTTATGATAAGATCTTTGTGTTTCGCGAAATAACACTCGAGTGAGAAATCCTTCGAATCTAATCGATTCAAAAAGACAAAGCAAGGCAAAAGACGCTACTAATGCCCGAGGAAACTCTTCGATAAGAGGGGATTAAACATTTGTTGGAACTAGGAAACTTATCGACGTGCTTCAAAGCTCGCCACCGATTAAAGCTCCGAGCCTTTTACAACAAGAGGGAAGATTCGTTCGACAGCTTCCTCGAACTACTCGACAGTTCAGATAAACACTGTTTGCTCATGTTTCATCTGTTTACCGAGAATTTGCATTTACTCATGTTTTTTTGTGTCTCGTTTTTTACAATGATTCAAACAAATTTTTTCCAATTAGCCATTTATATATACCATTTAAATGTCGTAATATGCTTTTTCCCTCCTTGGTTATTTGTCGAAGTTTACGATAGATCGTTTGCGGTTTCACAGTCGATCTCACAGTGCTGAAAATAAAATTTTTGTAGATTTACAATATATCGATGTTTCGAATGGTAAATTTATAAAATTGTATTTCATTAAGATTTATTTGATAAAATTTTATAATTGATAATTTTCGGAATATTTACCGAAATTTTGTGGGAAAAAAATTGTCGAATAAAAATTCACAGTGGGTATGACGTATGGGCACTTGAATTTGTTCCAGACAGAAATTGACATCACCCAAGTGGAATCGGTTCAAAGGGATCAGGCTGAGATGGAAGGACAAGATCAGACTGAACAACGTGATATGGAGGTGCTGGCACATGCAATGTAAGAAAACGCACGTGAGAACGTGAAACCACGACCGTGAAACTTGCATTAAATATGAAACTCGTTGCTCCGTGCAATTAGAATCTCGTCTTAATTGGATGTTTTGAAAAGAAAATGTTTTCTAACCTCTTTAGAGACACCGAAGCACGTATGTGTACGTTTAGTTTTTCTTTTCTTTTTTTTTTAAACACGAATATTTGTGACAGAAAAAAAGAGTATGAAAATATAATGAATCGCTTGTTCGTTACGTAATCTCCCACGAAGAAAAATACTATAAATTTTTTTTCCAACTGAAAAAAAGCAATCGCCCTTGAATAAGTTAATACTTTTCGATTGTGCGGAGCAACGTGAAAGAGTCTATAAGCGTATCAAATAACCGGAAATACTCTACGAAGCGCGAGGCGCGTCGACTGGTTAATTTTGCTGACCTTTAACAATCATTTCGCACGATAACCCGGTGTCGTGACGATAACGCCGAGCCTTCGTTTTATTTTTCTGCCCGTAACAGCTTCTCTTTTCTCGGGTGAGTTGTCATGGTCAACAACTGGCGGTTCGAGGGTCACCGCAGTGATTAGGGAACGCAATTGGGGAAAAAGCGTTCTCGAAAAACCAACCACTTCGGTTAGAATTGTTAAACGTTCTCGAATTACATTAAGTTCGAGTCGTAAAGATTTTCAAGTTATATCGATTCTCCGGTTACATCAGTTCGAATCATGTCAGTTTGTTGGTTATGTCGGTTTAGTTCACGTCAGTTCCCCCCCTAGTTACGTCGATTTGCCATGAACTATTTACTATCTTATTCCAAGTAAAAACACTCCTCCCTCTGCTTTTACATTTTTGCTGTTTTATTTTTACATTAAAATACAAGCATTTCCTTACTGAGAAAACGATAAATTCACGGTTACGAAAGACGCGTTAGCTTGGTCTTTTTTTTTTCGTAACGTGAGAAATTCTTTCGAAACATCGTCCATCTTGTGTCACACTTTATCCATGTTTCTCGATTCTCAAGTAAATTCATGGTTGAGAATCGACGAGCTCTCGTCGACTTCACAATCGATCTTAACGAGAAAGCTCGAAAGAAAAGGAACATGGCCGCGCTTTCCATCGAGTTACGATCGAAAAACAAAGGTGGCAAGATAAAGCGTAATCTAAAGCCAAATTAAATTGATTCAAGATATCCTACCGCGAAAATAAGGCGATACGGTAGATAGACGGTTGCCACGGTTGTTGTACAAGATAAAAGGAATATCTTGCACGTGACACACCAGTGACAAAGAGTCCCCGCCATTCGACTGAAGCGCGCCAGTTTCTACATGTTTTCCTGTGAAACTTCCAGGCGTGTTCAGTTTCGCGAACACCGTCATACTAGCCTTCGAAATTCTAGTCGCGGTTAAATTACGCCGGCTGCGTCCCTCCGTTCGATGTCCGATCGAATCCTTCGATAATCGTATCGATACTTTAAATCGCGCGCGTTGTCATACATACCTTTTTTTATCATTTTAAATCTGCTTTGTGAATCTGTGCACTGGGGAAAAATCGAGGTAAAATTCTGAAGTAAACGATAAAAAAATTTAGGTCAAGGTCTTCGTGTCGATAACCTAGTAGTGTTCGTATAAAAAATCTGATAATTGTATACAATCTTTGTACATTGTATAAAAAGTATAGTTTGTTGTTATAAAATAATCGTTATTACTTCACATTATCGATACATTTATTGCTTTATTAATATAAATAATATTTTTATAAATTCGACGAAAACTTTCACGAGTGACTGTACAATATCAGACGAACGAGGAACAATTTATATTTTTCGGTACATTTTCTAAGAAGCATAAAAATTCCCGGTATCGTTTATCGTCGTAACAACATTATAAAGTTAACGCGGAATATTTCAATGCATGGCGTTTGCGTAGGTAAGAGGACTTTTAAATAAATCGATCTGCTCGGATTGTGCAATCGAATAAACCGTACCTCGTTCACTGACATTTCGATCGCGAGCAGCGCTATTTTTAAATTCGTCGTGTCGATCCTTAGCTTGTCAGCCTCGAAAATCACGGTGGTACATACCGATCGATCGTAAATACTTCATGTCGTACGGGATGCTGTTGAATCCTGCAATTTTAAGTGATTGATTATATGCTATGTAATGTTGTTCACACAGAGGAAGGGAATGGTTCCTCGTTCGTTGACACTGGTCACTGTCACATGTAGATTTTACGAATCGTGCTAAAAGAGGTTAAGTTGGTTTCATGTGTTTTTTTATTAAATCAAGGCGAAACTATCGATAAGAGGTTGTTTATAGAGTTTCAGTGATAGCTACAGATATATTGAATCAATGAATCATTGACCTTTTTCTTGGTAGTGTTCTGATTTCTGTACAAACATTTTAGACCATTTTTTTACACTTTTTAAATTCTTTAGACTAACAGGCTAGTCAAAGGCATAACTACATGTTCTTACATTACAGTAATAAATTCATCAACATAGTAGAAACTTATGAATAAATCTACGAATAAATCTAAATTTTAACCAAAGCATTACTACTGAATTCTAACCTCACTAACCTCCATAGTTCTAGTACACCACATTTTTCATTCATCCTTTCACATAAATCATTCCTATCGCAATTCTAACACTCGTAAATCATCTTTCAAGCAGTCTTCTTAATATATACTCACTTTGTTTCGATTTTTCCCGATAAGGGTGCATCATAAGCGAACGATAACCGACGAGGGCGAGCGGAAGCGCGGCGAGTAAGAGAGGCGGAAGGTCGAACGGAGGGAAGTTGTCTCCGGTTCACAGATCGAAAGCAGAGATCGACACAGGACTTTGTACCTGCGGTCTCGTGATTACGAGAAATATTTCGCGAGTGCGCCACAAAATGCGTCGCCGCAAAGTCGGCATCGGGACGCTCGCGTCTCTTCTCCGCTGTACAGAACACATCGAGCATGGTCGTAGATCAAAGGGCAGCTAACTAGTCGCTTAACCTGTTCGCGTGGTCTGCACAATTCGAATTCGACGAAGGAGTACGCATCGTGGTTCGTATCGATTTTTTCTCGAAGAATTTGCTTCCTTGTTGCGTGTGAACCGGATGGAAAGCTTTTTCTGATGGGTATCGTGCTCTGTGTTAGCTAAAAATCACGTTGCTGCTACTTTTAGAGACGCATTCACAGCCGGTCGTGGTTCATTTGAATTAGTGCGCGCGCACTGAGTCGCGTGTCAACGACATCGCGAACACAATTGAAATTCCTTTTTTATTTCTTGATACATCGAGATAAGGAGATCTTTTCGTAAATAAATCTTTCGTTGTTCTAAGTGAATTTTTTGTAGAATATTCGAGTATAGAGAATAAAAGTATAAAAATTTATTTATTTTTTCTTTACAGTGGTGAATTTATCAAATGGAATAAAGTGAATCTGTACAATTTCAGTTATACTGAAGCAAAACACGCTGGTGTGCCAATTCGCGTCCCCGTTGGATGTTGATACTCATAATAAGCCTGAGGTACGTTTGCTTATCACACTATGATAAATGGTCGATTCTTATCGAACATCGTTCTCGCAATGATCTACAGATTGTTTCAAATTAGAAAGCATGAAGTTAATTCTATACGAAATTCGTGTCTCTCCCATGAACTGAGCAGCTCTTGTCTGTTTAAATCTGTCAAACAGTCCGTGCTAAAAATAGACTACAATTGAATTTAAAAGCTGCTGGTATATGCATTTCAAACTTACTTCGCAAATACAGGATAGTAGATTGTGCGGATCGTTTGTTAAATTTCTGCGGGTTTAAAATCCACGAATTACGCGAAGATTTGTATATTTGTATATTTGTTAATTTTGAAACATCCTGTACCGTGTAGTAGTAAAGCTTGATTGATCTGAATTCGAATACGATAACGAAGTAAATTGAGAAAGAAAATTGATTGAACTTATATTACATATTTTATTTGTTGAATACAAGAAAAATTTAAAAGATTAACGTAAATGAACGACGTATGTATTATCAGGCAGTGGTCTTAGAGGGAAAATACTGGAAGAGAAAACTTGCTGCCGTTACTGCGGAATACAAGAAATGGCGTATGTTTTACCGGAACAAGATCCTTGGTTGGACGAACAAGGATGGCACCGAGATGGTATTCATCTATTTGCAACTTCAAAATATTGTTAACGTTTCTCTGAAATAAATTCGAATGAAATAAAGACAATAACAGAAGTTCGATATATTTTTTAATTTGTATTTTGCAGAATTTGCAGTAACCACTTGTATTTCCTATTTATAACAGAAAATGTTTCAGATGGAATCGATGGACGTATTAGATTGGGGCAGCGGATTGGGAACCTCAGGCAACTTTGGAGCAGGTACAGGCAACACACACGGAGGGACCAGTGGGACTCCAGGAGGAGAGAGTATGATGGTTGATGAAGATTACATGGAGCTAATGACTGATACGTTATTTTCGACAATCAGTTCAAATCAACCAATATACTTTCCCGATCCGAGAGAAATTGGTAACTCACTAATTCACGTTCCTGCACGAGACTTTGATAAAAAAAAAAGAAAAAAAAATAGAAAAGGAAAAACAGATATCTCAGTACGATTAGTACATTGTAATAACTTATAATTAAAAAGGAACAAGAACGAAAAAAGTAATGTGAAACTAAACGATCTAGATAATTACGTAGCAACCCAAAATTACCGATAAACATTATTTTCAAGTTGTTGCTTGTAATTGCAGCGCGTGGAGCTAGTCTGGCGGATTTTATACAACCCAGCTTGGGACCGCTCCAGCCAAATTTAGACGATTTTATGGACACTTTAGAACCGTTGCAAGGTACACACAATCAACGATAAATTGGAATAATTATGAGCTGCGTAACAATTAAAATTTATTGGCTTTTAGAATTTTTAAATTCGAAGTTGCCTCCAGTCCCCGAGGAAGACGACATGTTTCGAAACAGTGCTCTGAACGCGAACTATGCTGATCTCGATCTAATGACGCCTATGAATCAGATGAACGAGCTGAGCCAAGAATCAGCGGTGAAGAATGAAGCTTCACAGCAGGCAGCATTAGCACAGGACGAACAAGGAGGCACTATACAGAATCTTCAGTACACCGCTAAAATATATACTCAACCTCAGCCAGAGCCAACAAATGCGTTCAGGAGTAATATGTATGTTTCACTTACTTATCGTTTTATATTTTGACAAACAAATTCTATATCAATTTCTACATATGCAATACAGAACTCTGGCCGATAGTTATAATACTATACAACAAAACTACGAGCCTTCTCCACCGAGTCAACCTGTTAGAGAGAAGAGTAGGCCAAGCAGGATTTCTTCGAGGAGTAGTCGAGTGATTCAGCAACCTCAGCAACAACAGAACACGTATCAACGAACAACACAGCAACAGAATTCAGCTTATCAGCAGGCCTCGCAGCAACCGTACGCCATGGAGATTCAAACCGTTCAATTAACGCCGATTCAGAATCAAGTGCAGATGACAGCGTTGAATGATCAGTCTGTACACGCCAATCAGATATCGTCTATCGCCAGTCACGTTCAGAATCTCGTGACTGTGCAGCAAAACTTCGGACAAACAAATTCCACGGTATCTTCTCAGCACAGAAGCATCAGGCCTTTACCACCGGTCGCACCGATGTCTACGAAACCGTACAAAGTCGTTCAACCGCAGCAATGCTACAAGTTCTCCGCGCTACCGCAAAACTTTAATACGCAGCAATGTAAATTCAACACGAATAATTTCAAGGTATAATTCAAAGATAGAACTGGATTAGAGATTTTATCGATGTTCCGTTTGAATAATGTATCATAACGAGGCAATCAAATCAGCAATAGAGTCAGATTATCTTGATATTTTTCAGACACACCCACCGCAACAGGTCGTATCGGTTTCCGCGGAGCAATCGTCGCAATCATCGATACTGTTACAGTGTAGACCCTCCGGTTTGGATCTCACCACGCCGGCCGTGCAACCCGCGAAATTGTTACCGCAAGTAGCCGCGTCGAATTCAGAGAAAGAGGAAGTTTTCGCTGTGCCCAAGGTTAATATGTTAATCAGAATAAACTCGTTTGCTTGTGTATACATATGAATGAAGATTTTATATTATAATAATGGCTTATTTCCATTTCAGTATCAGATGAAAGCAAGGAATAGATCTCGAAGTAGTTCGTCGTTAACCACACCAAGAATGCATCCACCACCATTAGTATCAGCGGCGAGCGATCCCGCTCTAAATCTAAATAACAATGTTTTGCTCGCACAGTTACTCACGAATAGTATGTATTCAAAGAAACGTAATCTATGTACGATTAATTTTATTCTCTATTTTCTCTCTCAATCATTTATACCGGCAACATGACGCGTGCATTATTGAGAAATCGATCACGGTATACATATACTTTCTCTCGATAAAAAGAATATTATGAGAGCTTCAATATCGTTACATAGACACATCTGGTGTACACACAATGAATATGCCAGCTGATAATATAATGCCGACAGTGAACCAAACAACCACAACTATGAAACACATCATACCCATGCTTCCACCTTCAGCTTCGCCTACGCAGGTGACGACTACCCATCATATCACCACGCCGGTCACTGTCCAAACTATGCAAACCTCTACGGTGCAAGTGCAACCGCAGCAGCAGGTATTCCTTTGTTTTATTCTATTCTGATTGTAAAGTTGAGACATAATTAGATCAGTGTTCTTCAAGGAAAGGATCACATAATGTGAACATAACACTTAAGCTTCATGTCTTAACGACTTGAATTGTGCTGATTTAGAAAATAATTCATATGATACTATTATTAAAATACTAATTGAACGCATCTGAAAATATCATTTTCCGAAGAATATTTGTAAACACAGCTATTTATAGCTGGCACATGTCATAGATTACATAATGCTGATACCGACAATAATAAATCTTTACCTTGTATAATCTATATAACGAGGTTTAACTGTATGTTGCACATTAGGCAATGCAACAGTCTGCTTGCAGCCAACAAATGTTATTAAATACAAACACCCAAGCACATCAGCCACAAAATAGTCCCGGGTCACCGAAGGATAGTTCTAACGCGCACAGTCCTCAAGGGTTGAGCCTCAGTCCTTTGCACAGCCCGATGAGTATAGGAAGCCCATTGTCACCAAGTCGAACCTTCGGAAAGGGTGAAACGGAACGAGGACAATACAAGGAACAAAGGAGAGTCGGGCACATTCACGCGGAACAAAAGCGTAGATATAATATTAAGAACGGATTTGACATGTTGCACAGTTTAATACCGCAGCTTAGTCAAAATCCGAACACAAAGTTGAGCAAGGCCGCCATGCTGCAGAAAGGGGCGGATTATATCAGGCAGCTAAGGGCGGAGAGAAATCAATTGAAGGAGGAGATGGATAGTTTAAGACATCAAATCGAGTGCCTTAATACGTCGATTAGGTAACAAGAGAGTCAAGCGGGAAAGAAAAAAAAAATCAATTCTATTTTAAGAACGGCTATATTAAGTTACGATTCAACATTCTGTTGCAGTAATTGTCAATCTATGCTTCCTGCAACGGGTGCTCCAATTTCTAGACACAGAACTAGCAAGATGAAGGAGATGTTCGATGAATACGTACGCACACGTACACGGGAAAATTGGAAATTTTGGATTGTATCCTTTTTTTGAACTATTTCTTGAACGAATTTTATTTTTAACGATTAAATACGTTAATAGAAAATAGTGGAATTTGGTATTTCCTTACAAATTGATTAGTTCAGTATATTGCTTGAACCTCTAATGATTTCTTTCAATACCTCGGTGTCAACCGCGAGTATCGAAGATTTATACAGAAGTACAATATTGTGGGTTGAGCAACATTGCTCGCTCGTCGATCTCAGACCAGGTTCGTGTCTTCAAAAGAAAACGTGTTTTTTGTAGTGAATGCTGATTTATAGATTAAGTTTGTGACGGTGGTATTATTAATGTTTTTTTCCTCTTTAATTATAGCTGTTCTGAACTCCCTAAGATATCTGTGTACTGCCACTGATATTCTATCAGATCCTGGTCGCCTACCTGAAGAAGCACTCGCAGCAGTCAATCGCACGGAACGGCGGCGATCAACTCAGTGACCAATTATAATATTATGCAAATTCGTCGTGAACATGATTTGCATATACGTTTAAGATTTAGTCGCGTACGAGCAAAACGAAAAGCAGTTACCGTAGCAGTAAGCCAGTTTAGGAGAGAAAACTTACATGAAAATTCTTAAATGCGGTCTCTTTTTACAATAGATTTTCAGATTTCCTTTCGTAACGATCGCGGATCATGATGGAAACAACTTAAAGTGCAATTTTTCCCTATCCTTCACAAAATTGTGATCATCAAATTTAATGATAAAAGAACAAAAAAGAGTACGTGAAAATGTACATGAATTTACTCGAACTCGTTTAACAAAATATATGTATACGTATATAGACTGTTATAAATTTGGAACACGCTGAGATTTTAATATCCTCTTTTTTGTGAGGTTATCGCAATTATTTGTATTGAATATTAACGAAATGGAAGTATGTTCATATTTATTACGTAATTATGTACATCACGTGTTTATATTCATGCAGCGTTAAGGAAAATTTCTATTTAACTTTATCTACGTCTACGAATTGCGATAACACAAATTATTTTCCCATAATTCTCTTTTTTAATTTTTCTTTTCATTGACTCATTAAATTCAATCATTGTAATACTTGCCTACATATATGTGTAATATTTAAAAATAGAAACAAAAAACAAAAATATGTAGAGCAAACCATTCCATTATATTTTTACTATGCTTGTTTTTGACTAAGTACGACATTTGCGGCAGTGATAAGAAAAAGGAATTAATGTTTTCTTGAAGTTATTTTGTTTCGTTTTACTTTTAAGACAAAAATATTTGTAAAAAATATATGTTACATTGTCGGTATATTTTTATAATAGTTGAAATATACGTAACTTTCTTTAAAAAAAATAAAAGTTTAACTTTGGAAATTCTTCTATTAAAATTGACGAATAAAAACTTTTTACGATAAATTAGCGTCAAGTAATTGTTGTAACTTTTTTACACATAGTAAAAAGATACATCTAAATCGAACCAGTGCCATGAAACTATATCGTAACAGGAGACTGGAGTCAGAAACATAAATTATTAACAATATTTTATCTATATAATTCACCATGCCTTTCTACTACGAAAAATGTAGTTTAAAATTGAATACTGTAAAATATTATCGTTTTCAACTTTGCACTCTGTAACGAATATACAGCTGTTGAACTTGCATAGTAATAACTTTGAAGGGATAAAAAGTTTATTAATTCAGATAATCGAACTGCATATGCGGCGGTAAAAATGGGTTGCTCACAAATTACGAGTTTATTATATACTAATAATGTTATAAAATATGAAGTTTTTAATGTGAAATTTCATGTGATAATGTACAAATCATTTATAAAGATTCAAATATTAGAACTTAAGCCGTAAAAGACTTCTGCATATTGTAACATTGTTATCTTTAAACAACGATTGTATATAACAGAATATTGTAAATGGTGAACAATCTTTAAGAACCTCTTAAGCTGTTTCAATGATTGTTAAAAATATAACGTTTATATTTTGCGGATACCCGATCAATTAATTTTTACAATATACAGTTGTCTTTTATTTAACTTTACACTGTGTACGTATAAGTGATAAATAATATAAACAAATCAACGAAGGGATGTTTTTTTTTTTGTACAATATGTATCATATAATCATATAAACATTCGTGTACTGTTACTCAGATGTTTACTTCCATAAAGAAAATTGAATTTTACTACTTTTTTTTTTCATTTTCCTATGCTGCTTAGCATTGAACATTATTTTTATTTATATTTTTTCATTATCGTTTAATTAAAAAAAGAAACACTGTATCTTCACACTTTTATGATATTTTATAGGATATCGGTATGATGTCCATTGTCATTTTCATTTGTATTCAATATATTATTACTCTAAATAGTCATCTCATTAAAAAATATACTTTCTTTTTATGTTAGTGTCAGTTTTAAAAGAATTCATTAATTGAGAAATATCAGAATTTATATTATTGGTGTGCAAACAGAACATTTATCACAAATCAGGTATAAGGATGTAATATTGTTTTCAGAAATTGGTAAGAAACCAGGTGGTTCTTTGCATTCTGTGAAATGTGCATTTACACAATTAGTTATGAGATATCCCACTTCTTTCACACTGATACAATTGCTGAATGCAAAGCCACAAGATTTACAAGCTACTTTATTTTCTTTTTCTATTAAATTAGATTTCTGACATATAGGACAAATGACTTCGTCATTTCCTTGATCTGCAATCAATGCTAATAATTCAAGTTCTTCTTGTGTCATTCTTTCATACTCTTCTAGAATCCATTGTTCTATAAATAATATAAAGTATTTCATATTGTTTGACAATCCCATATGCAATAAAAGAAAACCCATTTAATTCACCTTCTTCATTGAGTATCTCAGCTTCAAGATCAAGTGCTTCTTCTGGATCAAGAGGTTCGCTTACAATAGAAGCAAAAGGATTCACAGTTGGATCTACACTTGTGGTCGCGATGTCATTCAATTCTTTACGAACGATTCCAGTCAAAGTATCTTGAACAACTCTGGAATTGATTTCCAAACCAAATCTACCTTTGTTAAACAACTGTCCTCGTTTCTCTCGCATTCTTTGTCGACACCTCTAAAATTCAGTTTTATCATGTTGACAACAAAATTTTCTCGGAATACGATACGATTGACAATGCATTACATTGAATCACATGAACTTTATTGCTGTTACATGTATAAAATCTTTGGAAATTTTCAATTGACATTAGACAGCTAACCTCTCTCAAGACCTCTTGCAATTTTGGAGATCCGTGTCTAATTTTATTTGCAGCATTTCGATTTTTCATCTTTTGGCTCATCGTCGGACTTAACGTTATGTTTTCCATGTCTTTCGTACACCTTAACATTTGGAAAACTTTACGAAAACAAATAATAAAAGGCACTATGATCGATCTATGGCGCTGACGTATACTCTGCTGTTGCCCGGCAAAGCAAACTTGAAACTTCAAATAGACTTTAGGGTCTAGAAGTGGGAAATCGTACGCCTTACTAGCGGTTTTCGGACTTACAATTAGTTTATTTAATTTTGCAATGGAAATGAACGTGGTGTGTAAGGGAGAAATAAATAGTCTGTAAAATGCTGTAAAACAACACTGGTATATTGTACCCTTTTGTAAAATACATTTTGTACATTAATCATACAATAAATAATTGATTTTTTTATAAATAATTGTATTTCTTCACTTTTTCTGATGTTCAAGTCCTTCCCTTGATTCCTATGGTGTACTGGAAGGTCCATCAGTAATTCATACAAAAAGAACATTCATTTTCAAATGTTAAATAAAAAATTATAAACAATTTTTAACCAATCTACTGAATGCAATGGATAATTCAACGTAAAATTGATATTCAACTAAACCGTGTAATAATTTTATTTCATACTACCAATAACTATAAACAACCATTTGTAGAATTATTTAACAAGAAACAGCAATTATTCAATAATTAAGGTGCTTGATAATAAGCCAGAAACTGTATTTTACTATCTACATTATTAAGAATTTAAAATAATTAAAAATTGATTATATGTATGAATTAAATACAATAGGGATTACGAGGATAAGAATAACGAAGGGAAACAAGGAAAGGAAAAGCGGATGACAAGGATAGCACTACAGAAATGAGTTAGACAAGTAAAGAAATAGGGGTCAACAAGGATAGCAGTTTTGTAATGAGTTAGACAAGGAAAGATATAGGGATAGACAAGGACAGAAAATCCGAAATCGAAACTAACGCCATCTCGCGTCAGGTGACGCGAACTACGATTTCTTAATAGGAAAACATGATATAAACAGAGCTATTAGACAAGGAAAGCACTAGTGTGCGACAAGGACAGAGATAGAACGCTTCCTATTGGTTGACGGGCCGCCATGCTCCACCTCCCAGGGCCACAGCCACGTGGTCCGGTGAAAAATCATTAATAACTCGATAATTAGGATGATTTTGTGAACTTTTAGAATTGAAGAATAAAGTGCGAACCTTCAGCAACTTTCACATATAGTTTTTAATGCTCTAAACCCTTTTAATAATTAGTTATTAACAATTATTGTGCGGAGTGTCGGTGGCGGTATTACACACTGTCCTGGTTTTTCGTCAATTTTGTAGCTTTATACAAATAATTCATGCACTTTCATACATGTGTTCGAAAGTCTATTCCTTTAGCTAGTTTCCCGTTCCATTTTCATTAACATATTCCTCGTAGTTTGCAAGATATTAGATATTATTTGGGTAAGTACTATGCTCGTCACATGCAAGCGTAACATATTTTCGTCATTATCATGAAAAAGCATGATTAATTTTGTACTTTCAAGCATGCAGAATGTAGTACAGACTTTTTACTATATTCTACAGTAATTTTTGTAGCCGCAAGTGATGTGGTTTATTAGATATTAGCAATAGTTTATAACAGTCAGGTATACACGAGTACAATGAATAGTGGACGCTCCCATATAATGCTTAATAATTCCTAAACTAAAGCGAATATGTTACTAAAAGTTAGATGAGAATGTTGCCAAAGGAGTTCTCTTTCAGATGCGTGTAGTTAGTTACACGAGAATTTAGTGAAAAGCTATGAAATTATTGAACAATCGTAAAGGTATGCGGTATCGTTCCCGACAACCCGTACTAAAATTGTTAATAACTAATTATGGAAAGGGTTTAGAGCATTAAAAACTATATGTGAAAGTTGCTGAAGGTCCACACTTCATTCTTCAATTCTAAAAGTTCACAAAATCATCGTATTTATGGAGTTATTAATAAAAATTTCGGAAATGTTTTACGTTCGAATACGACGAGTGTAGTATTTACCCAAATAATATCTAATATCTTGCAAACTACGAAGAATATGTTAATAAAAATGGAACGAGAAACTAGCTAAAACAATAGCCTTTCGAACGCACGTATGAAAGTGCATAAATTATTTGTATAAAGCTACGAAATTAATGAAAAACCTGAAGGAAGTGCGGTATTGCTGCGGACACTCTGCAAACTAATTGTTAATAACTAATTATTGAAAGGTTCTAGAGCACTAAAAACTATATGTGAAAGTTGCTGAAGGTTCGCACTTTATTCTTCAATTCTAAAAGATCACAAAATCATCCTAATTATCGAGTTATTAATGATTTTTCACCGGACCACGTGGCTGAGGCCCTGGAAGATGGAGCATGGCGGCCCGCCAACCAATAGGAAGCGTTCTATCACTGTCCTTGTCGCACACTAGTGCTTTCCTTGTCTAATAGCCCTGTTTATATCATATCACCTGACGCGAGATGGCGTTAGTTTCGACTTCGGATTTTCTGTCCTTGTCTATCCCTATATCTTTCTTTGTCTAACTCATTACATTAGTGCTATCCTTGTCTACTGCTATTCCTTTCCTTGTCTGATGCATTACTCTAGCCCTATCCTTGTCTAGCGCTATTCCTTTCCTTGTCTGACGCATTACTCTTGTCCTATCCTTGTCTACCGCTATTCCTTTCCTTGTCTGACGCATTACTCTTGTCCTATCCTTGTCTACCGCTATTCCTTTCCTTGTCTGACGCATTACTCTTGTCCTATCCTTGTCTACCGCTATTCCTTTCCTTGTCTGACGCATTACTCTTGTCCTATCCTTGTCTACCGCTATTCCTTTCTTTGTCTAACGCATTACACCAGTCCTATCCTCGTCATCCCTATTATATTTGATACTTATACTCAATTTTTAATTCTTTTAACGTTACTAATAATGTAGATAGTAAAATACAGTTTCTGTTTTATTTCAAAATACTTTAATTATAGAATAATTAATGTTTCTCGTTAAATAACAATTTAGATGGTGGTATATAATTATTGGACGTATTTAATGTTCTTTTCATGTAAATTACAGAAGGAACTTTTAAGATACAACTGGAATCAAGGAAAGGACTTAAATTTCAGGAATAATAAAGAGTCTTTGACTACAGAATAATTAGTGTTTCTTGTTAAATAACAATTTAAATGGTTGCTTATAACTATTGGAGGTCTTAAACGAATTTGTTGCATGATTTAAATTAATAAAACAGCTCAATTTATTAATTTTGCATGGAATTAACAATTGCACGCAGTAGATTAGCTAGTAACTGTTTATAACTTTTATTTAACATTTGAAAATTAATGTTCCTTTGGTATGAATTACAGATGGAACTTTGTGGCCACCACAGGGACAAAGGAAAGGACTTCCACATCAGGGAAAATGAAGAAATGCAATTATTTAAGAAAAAATGAATTATTTATTGGAAGATAAGTGTATAAAATGTATTTTACAAAAGGTTACAATATACCAGTGTTACATTACAGCATTTTACAGTCTATTTATTTATCCCTTGCACACCAAATCCACTTCCTCTTGCGAAACAGTCATTATTTAAATAAGATTCCATTGAAAAATTAAGTAAACTAAGTCCGGATAGAGTTAGGAACGCGTAAAGATCGAAAAAATCGTAAAAATCGCGAAATTCGAGCGAAGAAATAGCTTAGAGACATTGAAAAATTTCGAATGTCTGAGAAATGGTTGACTTGCACTACTAGATATCTCGCGGAACAATTTTCGAGCGTCTGAGAAATGGTCGACTTGCACTACTGGCTTGAACAAATTTCGATGTCTGACTTATGGTTGACCCGCAGGATAGTTCAAAAATTTCGAAAATTGGCCGAAAATCAGCAAGTCAACCATAAGTCAGACATCGAAATTTGTTAGTAGTGAAGTCAACCATATCTCCGACAACCAGTTTCGATGTCTGACTTATGGTTGACTCGCTGATTTTCGTCCAATTTTTGAAATTTCTGAACTATCCTGCGGGTCAACCATAAGTCAGACATCGAAATTTGTTCAAGCCAGTAGTGCAAGTCAACCAATTCTCAGACACTCGAAATTTTTCCGCGAGGTGGCCAGTAGTGCACGTCAACCATTTCTCAGACGCTCGAAATTTTTCTGTGTTAGCCAGTAGTGTAAGTCAATCACTGCTTAGGCATGCCAAAATTCTCCAAGTCCGATATTCGAAGCGGAAAAAGCAGCTTTATTTATTCCTTTATTAACGTGTCAATTTATTAAAGTTTCTGAGTTATTTGCAAGTACTTCGATCAAAGAATAATTAATGTTTCGTGTTAAATAACAATTTAAATTCTTGTTTAAATTACGGAGTGAAGTTTCAGGCCACCACATGGATCAAGGAAAGGATTCAATATCAGGAAAACTGATGAAATGCAGTTATTTGTCAAACAATGAATTATTTATTTTAAGATAACTGTACAAAATGTATTTTTACAAAGAGTTACAATATACCAGTATCGTTTTGCAGCATTTTACAGTCTATTCATTTCTCCCTTATACACCACATCCATTTCCATTCGCGACACACTCATTCTTTAAATAACATTCCATTACAAAATTAAATAAACTAAATTCGTACATTGCTTAGAACGTGTAACAATCGAAGAATTCGCAAAATTCGAGCGACAGAAGCATCGAAAGTTGCGCGTAAAATAGCGCAGTCCAGAATGTAGACTATTTAGGCACGTGTTGAAAAAAGTAACCAATGCGATGCGATCACCTACAGGCCTGTACTCCCACTGCAACCGTTGTTTCGCACTTTTTTCACGTCTGACTACGTCATTTCCTCCGATCGTTGCACTCGCCTCGAACTCACTGGCAAAAAAGAGCACTTCTGCGCAGTTCTGCTTCACACCAATCAGGTTTCCTCCCGAAATCCTCCAACTGAGAACCGACGAAGTTCAAGGGACACACCGATTAGACTTCATCTCTGAAAGAATCATCCTTTCCGCTTTTCCCCTCGTAGAAAACTTCACCACTTCTCTGTTTTACTAAGTTAAATCATGCAACAAATTTATCTAATAGTTTCAATAATTATAAACTATCATCTAAATTGTTATTTAACAAAAAACGCTAATTATTCTATAATTAATGTACTTGAAAATGAAACAGAAACTTTATTTTACTATCTACATTATTTGTAATATTAAAGTAATACAAAATTTATTATAAGTATCAATTTTAAACTGCTACTACATGCTATTATGCTCTAATTTACAATAACTATTATTAAAAGCAAAAAATTCGAAGAATTCCTATTTTAAAAATCAACTAACCTGATAATTCTTCACTTCTGACAATGCTCTTGATGATACACTCTGGATGCTTCCTCCTATCACGATTAAATATCAGCAGAGACGGAAGAGTAAGTGCAGTAGCTTTATTCTATCACTATTGGTTGATTAGCAGCGAGACGTCACAACTTCTCCTATTTATTGCAATTCGAGGCATTGCGCAGGCGCCCAGATCATTTAAATTTGAAGCCTGTTGAAGTTAAATGTCCTCTGTAACGTGTATAAAGGGGAAACAATGTTGAAATGATACCAAGAAATTTAAACGACAATGATTTATCATTTATTGTAATATCCAATGACGAAAGTATAATACAATTTTATCGGCCAGGCATTCTATTCGGATTGAGATCGGTTTTCCGCTGCGGCTGATCAAAAAAATCATGAGCCAACGGTTATATGAAACAATTGTTACAATTGGAGCAAGTCATAATATAAAACAATGACTCTCGATTAGTTATTACAACGTGTCATTTAAGTTATGCTAAAAAAAATATAACTCTTATTACCAGTGACAATAATTCATCCATATAAGTAAAATATCATTTTGCAGTCACTTACACGCCTAAGAATAAATATATATACATATATATACATATATGTATATCTTAAACATTTACGTCATCGTATGCATACATATAAAGGGTATTTCGCGAATAACTCTACCAGTTAGTACGACACGTTTAAAATATTTCATCTCTGTGAAAACAACAATTAACATCCTTAACATTCGTAAAACAATCTCCAACATTTTCTTTCTGTGTTGAACTAACGATGCAAAAAACAAACGAGATCCACATGTCTATGATAAATATATTCATAAGATCTCTGTTAAAGTTTTTCTCCTTAATCACCTAACCTAACAATTCGTCGACGATCCAACAAAGTTACACGCTCTTCGAAATACCCTATACATACATATACACAGTTATATACATACGTATATATACATATACACGGTATATTCATATACAGAACTACATTCGTGTCCCTTTACAACAATACAAACAGTCAATTATTCAGTTTTCTTTTTTTAAATATTAATTGATTCTCTTTACGTCACAGCGAAGACAGCACTGAATAATATACACTTGGATTCTGCTTATTAATACGTCGGGACTAGATCGATGGCAGATCTTCGACCGACTATATACTAATATTTACTGAAACAGTCAAGGAACAATGATGGCACAACAATGATTTTAAATAATTATTCTTCGATTAATTCTAATTCCGTCGTCTGATATCAGACCGTTCGTTAGGAAAACAAAAAGATCGATCCATCGTTTGCAGTGATGTGAACTTGGTACGAATAAAGTCGCATCACACTTTTCGATCTGCGTTTCATTTTAGACACCATTGCTTCTACAGCTTTTTTAAGGTCCACTCGCTGATATATATTTTCTCTCTCTCTCTCTCTCTCTCTCTCTCTATTACGCTGAGTAACTATGTCGTGGTAATTAACAATATATCAAGCGAATTACCGAATTACAAAAATTAGACATATTTCCTGAAAACCGGACATCATGATTTTAATCATCTAATCACAAATGTTTATAAGCGCACAATTGTCGAGAACGCATAATCGAACAAACTAAACGTCGACGTCCTTCGACCTATCGAGCTATATTCATCCACGTTGGAAGAACTACTATTATTATCATCTGGACAGTACTTTCGCCGACGAAATCAATACACCTGCGTATAGTCTCTAACGTATCATCTTCTTTTTTTTTATCCATGAACATATTTGCAGCGATACTTATTTATGTTCACACAATTTTTTTCTTCGTGTATTTACACATACCGCCATACTACAACGACACGGAACTATAGCAATTTTTTAAGAGGGAAATGTCTTTGTACCAACGTTTATCGGAGAACATTTTATCTTAACCTCGATACATACTTCTCGATAGACAGCGTACAAAACGTTTGTATTTCATTATATCGCATCGGCCGCATTTTATTCCTTCCCTTCTCTTATCAAATCGATATGAATAGTTGAAAATAACCATAGCACCGAAGGAACTTGGGCGCAACATTACGCGTATAATATATATATAATCTGACAGCTCTTGGCAATGATTTAGAGTCACTATAATAACTGGGTGCTTATAGGCTAATTATTCCTAACGATCAGTGTCACGATTAATATCAGTTTTCTCTCGGCAACAATGAATAGATTCAGGTAACAATTTCAACGAACCATATTCTGTCCTTTCTTTGTCCATTTGCATTTTTTACACCTTACGAGCTACGAACAGAACGATGATATAATTTCAACTAGATTAAAGATGATTGTACATACACACACATCGTGGATACGTTGCTACGATTCGATCCGTAGGATCGAGATCGAGACCAGAGACAGTAAGAAATTAATGCTAAAAAGTACAGCGCTTTTTTTCTTCAGGGAACCAATTCTTTCTCTCTCACTCTCTCTCTCGCTTTCTCTAACTCGACGATACACATTTAGGAACTAGACTCGACTCGTACATCTCGTACTACATTATCAAAAATTTTGATCGTGCTCGATCGCGTTTTCGCAAAAAAGGCGCTATACGTACATCGCTAGAAAAAAAGCTCTGGTCGTAAATCGGTAAAAAGATCTGTCCTCGTACGTTCGAACCAGTTTCTCGATTAGAAAGATCCTTTCTTCGTCGGATAGGGAAAGTCTATATATTTTCATTTTTTTTTTTTCACGCTTTATACAATTACAACGAAGATTGAACGTCTTGATGCGACGTTCGTTTTAAAATTTACAGTAGGTATACAGAGAGGATATAAAAAGGCAGAGTAACAAAGTAGAATATTCATCTTCTTTGGATCGTTGAGCACGTGTGATCCGTCGAAATGTACGAGGACTTCTTTTGATAGCCTATCTCTTTCACTTTCTCGTTCTCTCTCTCTCTCTCTCTCTCTCTCTCTCGCTCTTCGAATTATAACCTCACATTTGGGCGATGATTAATGCAGCTACTGCCGAGACTCGAAGAATGACCGGCAGCGTGCAAATCGTCAGAGTTTCTCCGGTGCCGTGGATCTGACAGTCGGCGCAGTTTGAGATGAAATCGGAGGACCGACGCTCGTTGATCGTTCCAGAGGAAATATCACCTTAGTCGGGGTCGGTTGTGATATAGCACGCTTCGCCAGCCTAAAAGAGCTATCGTCCGTTGTTTGTTAGTAAATTTGCGATAGAAAAGTCCCCTTTCGAATTTTGGGGTTTATCGTAACACGCGTACTGGCTATAATTAATCCGATAAAAAACATTTGTTACACTGGTTAGAACAATTTTCAGATCTTTTATAGAAGCATACAAGAAATATGTACATATGTATTGAGATCAGGCATTTGATTAGTACCTGTATGCTTGCTTATTTGTTTAAAATTGTTTCAAACAGTGTATTTTGTTTTGAACATTTGTATCAAAAAGAATATAGAGAATATTGTTAAAAAATGAGAAATAGGATAAGCATCAAACAATTTTAGTTTGCTATTAGTTGCAGGGTTCATGAGTCATGCCTGAAGAGCCAACACTGTTATCTTCAACTTATGGGGAGTTTCTCAACAAGAAGGCAGATTCCAAAACATTGAGTTGAATAAAATTGATCAACTTGCTAGTTAATGTTTTTTCTTACTAATATTTAGTACCATTAATTGTACCATTATTTTCTTATCGTACTACTTTTCTCCTCTTATTAAAAATTACTAGTTATATAAGTAGATATATGATCTTGCTACCATCTAAAAGACTAAAGCTAAGGTACATAAATGTCATGGTGAAGGATCTCTTGAACTGTAGCACAATGTTATAAAACATATACTGCACCAATCAATCAATATCGCTGGTCGTGGAAGCAGATGAGGACATGGATTAGCAGCATAGTAGAGCTAGCGGTGTGTTTAGATATTCATACTGAAAGCGTGATATATATAAATGTAACATTTCCATGAACGAAAAGCATCAGTGAATGAAATCAAATGACGATGAAGACGAACGGCTGTCCCGTCTGCAATGAACAGCGATGCAGAGAGTGGATTAATCGCTCATTCCTTAAATGAATAAACAAATATATGTGTCTAAACACATCTTCCATTGTGGACAACGTTTTTCTATTTAATTTTCCAATTTCAATTGAATGTCGAAAATATTCTTCGATCGTACCTTCCACAATGGTAGTTGTTTCAATATAAAAACGGTACAACAAATTATGTGAGATAAGAAGAGTCAGCTCAAGTTAATTCTTTTAATTGCGGAGGATTAGTAAGATTAAAACTGCCACGCTCAGAGCATATATAGAAAATGGTTTTAATTGTTACAGGATCTGCATATCAGCTCCATTTGCGAAGGTTAAATACACAGCTAGAAATGATTGTTGAATAACATCGTGTCGTAAAAAGCATATTTAAAGAACATTTGTAAAACGCGCGAGACTCTCTACTCGGTAATACACCGTATGTCCGTGAGTTGTGGTAATTTTTAAAACGGCATTCACATATATATATATGTATATATAGATATATGTATATATAATATATAGAATCGTGCATCGTGTTAGAGCTTTTTTCTATCACAAGTTCGATCGTGCTGTTCATCTCTTGTATACAAGCAAGAATATTAGCCTGATCGACCAGCAAATGGAGACGCACGACACATTCGATAATTTGGCATTAAAAATATAAATGCTACCAAATATAACATGTTGAAAGTAAATGGCGTAAATGCTAAGTTGAACAAATGGTTTATAAGTGCAAAGTAATTTTAGCAAAATTACACAAGATACGCATGGAAAAAAACATACACACTTAATTTTCTATCGACAATTAAAACGAAATATTAGCTTAATTAACATTAAAAAAATTCGTGCGCCATTTCTGGTGGATCTGGCTTGATAATATGGTCATTATAACACAAACATTCACCTAACAGAATTTCAAGCGAAAAGGGGCTCTAGTTTACCTTGGTCGCTAAAGTGAGATCAGACCATTTTCAGGAGGTAACGAAATAAACTTTAGTTCTCTGTACATCTAGACACTCATAGTTGATTAACCACAAATTCTGGACATGTGTATGGCTGATAGATAAAACATTAAGTTTGAGCGTAGAATGGTGGCGGCTCTTGCCGAGAGCATGAGATATCGACTACGCCGCGTAACGCATCTTCATAACAGGTACCTGTAATTAAGAAACTGATAAGCTTTAAACACCGTTCAAACCTTTTAGCTAGCAGCTAAGAAGAGAAACGTTGCGGAGAATGTTAAAAATTACAGGGAGAAGTTATCATCCGTTGTAGAACTTATGTTGCTCCAATTAGTATCAAGTACCTTTAGATACCGGTTTAAAGTTGGAATAAAATTAGTGAAAGCGCAATCTTTCTGTGCTTGCAAAACCCAGCATCAATTCAACACAAGAAGCAAAAAAGAGGTACAAAGGAAAATGAAGATATCAATGTGAGGGGGAATACTGTACATAGATTACATGTGTGCTAGGTGTAACTACGATAAAACTCATTGTCATGAACAAGAAGAATGATTGAATGCTGAAATAGAGCCAAGGCTCATCTTCTTTCGCGTATATACACAGGGAATAGTATTTAGTAATAATTCCTGTACTTGAACATACGATATAGACTTACGAATGTCTGGTTAATAACGCTACTATACAAATGAAAATGAAAATTTCCATTATGATTATGTTCGTCTATATCATTTGTTGAAATTCTTACGAATTAGATCGTGCCAAGCTACGTAGGTTATTCATTGTATGTACCTTGTTCTCGTAGTTACGATTGTTTTACAGAGAAATCTCTCGACATAAATGGGGTTTTTTTTTTTTTTTTAGTAAACATTGATGAATGCGATTTGAAGATCGCACGCGTCATAGATCGCCTCTGAAACAACTACTTTTTTGCTTGAATCATCATACTGATCACAATATGGCGAGCTATAAAAATACAGCATTATCTATGTACAGACAATTAGAATCTTATTATTCTCCGAAATGCCTTACGCCCATTCCGCATATCTTCTCTCTAGGGGACAACATTTATCGCACATTTCCACCATTCTGCAGCAACCAAAACATCTGAACGTCGACGATAGCAAGGATTGAAAGAATTATTACCTTAAAAATTCCCACATCACGGCGAAATGTAAGCGATCAAAACACAAGTATCCACATCAAATGAAATCGCATGACGGAAAAGATGGCTCACCTTCGTCGCCGTAGAGAAGCGTTTTGTCCAGGTAAACCGAACTGACCTCTTGGAATCACCATACGTGCATTACCCTGAGCGGGTCTCGAGCCTCCGTGCGCCTGTAGCGTAATTAAATGAGCAGCATAACCATCCTGGATGACTGTAGCCAATGCGCGGTGTTTCTTTGATACATTTCCAATCACGAAGATTTGATTTGGCTTAAGACTGATCGCAGTATAAACACTGATATCTTTACTACTGCCGTACGCATGATGGACTATTACACCATGTTCCTAAACAGAGGAGATTATTGCTCATATCGTACGTCGTAATCAGGAATCAAGATAAACTATATTTTCAAGCAGCTATTTACCTCCACAAGTTTGTGTAAGTAAGCAGCTTTATGACCGAGTGGATCTCTAGAAATACCATCCGCAAAGAATACAAAACCGTGAGGAAAGTTGTGCTGAGATAACCAGGAAACAACTTGTTGCTGCTGCATGTCAGGCCTCGCGGTAATATAAATAATTAAATAGCCCAATTCTTGCCAATGCCTGACCACAATAATCAAAGTGAAACCTTGCGTCCGTGAATCGTAAGCAAATGGGTATTTATAGTCAGATAAAATGTCTTAAATTATACCTAACAACATCGACAGCTCCAGGCCAAACTTTTGGATCTTTCCCGCTAACAGACATACTCGCAGCGAACGAACCATCTATGCTAAATACCACGCACTCTGTCTTCGGTGGAACCACAGCCAAGAAAAAGTCTATGGATGTATGATCACCCCTGAAAACCGAGAATTATTCCTCAAGTATATTGTAACAATATTTTCGTTCAATTGTAAATTATTACAATTTAAATACCTAACAACCATCTTAACTGGGTAAAGACCATATCCCAACGCTTTATCATTGGGTATTCTATACGTTATTCTACCATTCTTATCGGTTGTTTCCGTGGATAAATACGTCCATTCCCCGGCTGGAGCATCCTTCATAATGTGGATATCCACTTTTTCTCCTACAAAGATCATTTGTTTTCGAAGATTACCTGAGAAAACGTAAGAAAACGTATGAACTGTATTTAACATACCTGTTAAAGCGGTAGAGCCAATTACATAACTGTACATAAATCTAGCAACCAACACTTGCGGTGCTTCTCCTCCAACGATTACATCATTTGCTCTATGATTGGCAGCAAAATTCTGAAATTAAAATGAAAAATTAAGATCTCATATCGTCGATTAATTTTAACCAATTCAAACGAACCTTAAGTTTAACGGAAGTACGCTTCTTACTCCACTTCTCTCTAGGTTGACCTGGACGGAAGCAAGTTAACTCTTTCTCCTCGTTCGCGAGTAACGACAGATCAAATCTGCCTAATTGTCGTAAAATAAATGCAATCACGTCAGAGGATTCCCAGTAGCTAGCGTGGAAAAGGTGAGGCAAAGCGTTCGTAGGGAAATTGGCTAAACCTTCTGGACAATAAAGCGCATAATCTAACCTTTTTGTGCCCCACCATTTTTGCGTTACTGTAATAAATTAGATGAAGTAAAACTAATATATTTCAGTACTTGTCGTTAACATCGCTATTTACTTACAATTAGAAACTAGTTGTAAAGGAACATTTTCAACCACCATACCAGACATTGTACTATGAATTGATATATCGGACAATCGTCTCAAATGGGGCACCGACATGTTTGGAATATTTAATCCATCCGTGAATAATTGTGGATTCGTCTGAATTGCTTCCACTGAAAAGTACCATACAACTCGTATAATCTTTACATCTATTATAGAATTGTCCCTTAAACAAACGATACGTACACAAATGATAAGGCTGACCGTTCCCTAGTGGATACCTTTGATATCGAGCCACGTTTACGGGCGAAAGATGAGAGAACATCGCAGAGATCAGTGGCTCTAATCTAGCGGCTACTGGATCAGTAGGATGGAATAAGTTGTACACCTGATTCACCAATGGTCTCTTTATATTGCTAGTTTTTTCACTGCTTGAAGAGATTTTTCTATACGCCAGAACTAGAGAAAGCGGACTACCGAACATGAAAAATTCTCCTACTTCAAAGTCCAATCTACAATGTGAGCTATCACTGAAAGAAGGAAACATTAATCTCCCACAGTGATCTTAGATTTTTACATACGTTTATAAATCGAACTTTAATTCTTCACCTTGTACTAGAAGATTTCCTTCTAGGAGAAGGCGCGGTCAAGTGTTTGCCATCTTCAGCGTTATTCTCAACAATTTGATTATCCAAAATATTGTTCTCGCTATTATGTCTAGAATGAGTTGATCTACACAAAGCGTCATACGTTAAAATCGCTCCTACTGAATCTCCAATAAAGCAGATCTGCCCTGTGAACCCACGGCCTTCTTCGCTTTTAATAAAATCATGATACACTTGATTCGCACCAGCTATAACTTGAGAGACCGCCTCCTGATATTCAGGAGTGGAACTGGCGAGTAGAGGTATGGCGCCAATTGGAATAGTATCATGCGTCACTTGAGGAGCATCCATAGAAGAAGGGGATACATCGAAACTGTAAGGGCTTAGACTGGAAGAAAATGTATTAAATAAAATGATAATAAAAAAAAATTATACACAAACGAAAAATTAACTTTTTATTCGTTTATTTTTTTACCTTGATAAAATACCAAGACCCTCGGTACAAATAGAGGGACAGGAAACAAACTTAATCGCGATATGTCCAACCATAGTGGGATAGTGTTGTCTCATGACTGACTCAAAGGCTCCTTTGAAAGTTGTGATGTCTGATTTTTTCGCAGTTAGATCAACGTTGGCGTCTAAAATATTTTTATACGATATGAGATAAATTAAATACTGTATTGTTGCAAGTACGTTATTCATGGTAATTACCTAATACACTTCCTGCGTGCATTACGATAATAAGGACAGTTGTTTTGCACGGTTGTTGATTCGATGAACGTTGTGGTGAGGCCGGACACGAGACATCGATACTGGTTGAAGTAGAAATCTGCAATCTTTTACTGCTACGTTCACTGGTTATTCGTTGCAGATACGAAGGCGAAAATATCGTGTCGTCTACAAGTATACGTTTGAAATGATTCGTTAATAACAGCTAAGAGGATATGCAAACGTTTGTGAATTGCTAATCGATATTTACCTTCCTTATTTGTCGTGGTTGGCGAAGTGAACGTATTGTCCTCCTCTTCTGCTAGAAGATCCAAAGAACTCCATTTAGCTAATGAAGAGTTATCTCCAAAGTTCTCTGTATAATCAGAAATTTTAACATTGCTTATGCATCGTGCCTTTTGAAGCATCCGTGACTCATATTAAGGCAGGAAATAGAGAAATGAGAATCATGGGTATTTCCCCCTTTCAGATTAGACGTCACACAAGGTAGAGAATAGTAACAAAGAGAAAAAAAAAAAGAGAGACATATATATGTCTAACTTTATTTAATAAAAAATATGATTGATATGTATTAATACAAATAGTAGTATAATAGTTATAAAATAATTATAAGCAGTTGTTTTTGTAACCTACATAGGCCATGCTGTTTCATGCTGTTACGAATTGTCTCTTGAGAACTCCCATGCTCGATGTTATGTGTGGAGATCTGTTTGTAATGTAATCAATTGGATTCTCTTGTGCGTGTAAATTTCTGTAAGCAACAAGTTGTTCTTGTCTCGGTCTATAAAGGCATGAATGCAATTACACAATGTTTCTGGTCTTGTGTAGAAAATACTAACACGCTAGTATGAAAATGTTGATAATACGATCTTTCGATCGCGTCTTCCGACAAACGCGCGTTACAAATTTTTCGTAGTTCTAAGAATTCATCACTATCTACATGTCCTACCTTCGCGTATAAGAGGTATAATGAACCCAGCTGCAGTGTGGAATGCGACATAAGAAACAGAGAGGGAACACATATATAAAAAGAAACGGAAAATCTCATTACCACTCGTCATGCTGTATTTTCTACTTTGCAAAATGCGAATTTCTACCAGACACGAATTATCTATAATATTCTCAATACATTTTTCTCCTTTACTTGTACAATTTCCGTTTTAATATCTGCTTCATAACGGAAATGTACACACAATGTCTAAGAAATCCGCTAAAGCATCTGTCTTATGGTTCAGAGTTACATTAGCCAACTGTTAATCTTATGCATATAGAAAATTCTTGGGAAAGATTAGTCTCATGCTGTGCGATAAGAAATCTGTCTTTTACCTTGACAATCGAAGAACTCGTCCTCGCTACTTGACTCAGATTCTCTCACGATACTCTCCATTCTCCAATTCGCTATCTGCATATCGAAACTCTTGTTCGAACACGGTGAATTCATCGCCGGCTTGCTCTTCTTCCATCCTTTCTTCGTATCTCCTTTACTCTCGGTAGGTGCACTTCTGGAACAAATTTCATCGTGTTATATAAACTGGAAACTCGGAACATACAGTTTCACACACGTAAATAAACCGATTCCTGATTTTACTTCTATTTTTACCTAAACTCGGGTACTTCAGTCGGCGAATCTTCGGGGCTTGCTTCACCCTCCGAACTAACAGCTGTACTCGTCATCTCAGCTTTCCTGACACTCGGTGGACTCTGAAGATCCTCGTTCTTCTCGATGCTACCCAGTGTCGCGGCTAAAGTCATAGCGACATCTGACTCCTGCGGAGTCATCGTTGAATTATTAGCAGCTTCTTCCTGGTTCTCGTTCGCAGCTTCCTCTCCGTTTTCCGCGTTCGCCATTCTTCGTTGCAGCGCCAGTTGCGTTTGCCTCTCGATCTCCCGAATATCCTCCATAGTCAAGCTGTTCCATTCGTCCTGCCAGGCCCAGGCTTGCCTATGAGCTCTGACCATTGTTTTCCGCAAAGCTGAAATCATCAAATAGCGATACACCTCGTAGAGAACAGACAAAAAGATTCAATCACGATTAACGAACTCTAAGAAACATGAAGCAGAGAGAGATGTACCTATGTGCAGTACTGACCTACGTCATGTATGAACTTTTCTAATTTCGTTTGAAGGCCCCAATAACGGAACTCTACGCGGCATAGCTTGTACGCGCACATTAACGACTTTCCGGATGGCGTCGGCTGTTGCTTTCCCTAAACGGCGAAACACTTCTAATGTATCGACTACCTTTTTTAAGCAAAGATTATTCGAAAGAAAAGAGAGAGAGAGAAATTTGGCTTGAGAACGAATGAATACTTTTACGTCGGCCCAGTACTCCTCCAACCATGATTCCGTCAGAGGTCCTCGGTTGGTTTTCTGGGACACGTACAATTTAGGATCCTCCTCTTTCACGTAGTCGGCTGTGTATTGATCCTTCACGATGTCAATTACGTCTGAAATTCAATTATATAACCAATTATGGATCCTCGAAGACGTTACGTTATAATGGAACACGACGTGTCAAGTGAAAGCTCGATTCTCCAAGTGAAATAAATACACACCCACGGTTCTGTTCTTTAGATCGCTACGGCTCAGTTGGAACACGTTCTCCTGGTAACCATTGTCAGGGAAATAATACGTTTCTATTTCGATGGAGAATTTTTCAACGAAGGGACAGGTGAAAAGGGTTTTCGTATAGGGATATGCATTCCATGCTTCTTCTTTCACAATCAACGCCGACCTGGGTAGCAAACTTTTGAACCATCCAGGAAGATGACTGCCCACGTGATACACTTTGTGAGTGTATTGTCCGTTTCCACCAGGACCATTACTGTAAGGCTCGTTCATTATGATCTCTACACCGCTGCCTGCTCCTTGACTCTCTTCCCGTGATTTTTTCTACAAGAAATATGGATAAAAATAATTTTTTCTTAAAAATCGATCGAACTTGTTCGTTGTGTTTTCTATTTATCGAACAGGCCGACGTATATAATTACCGCTATCATGTAAAGCTGAGCAATTTTATACTCCTCTACGGTCAGAGGCAGCGGTATTCGATATTCTTTTATCAACATTTTGCCGGTGTTATTTTATCCTCTATCCTCTCGCACCGGCGAGACGCACTGGTCGCTCGAAGGCAAAAGCTTCCTCTTTGTCGGTCGACCTCACGGCAACATCGGCGTGAACCTTAGAATAAAAGTACAAGTAACGTTAAACCGTCTCAAGTTCTATTTTCAACGGAAAAATATCGTTAAAAGTGCCTAATCGTAATCGAGATTTCCCCGGACATGTGTCGATCATATTTTCTAATTTTCGATCAACCTTTGATTTCAGAGAATTTTTATCGACTCGTGGCTTATACATGCGACACGTTATCTATAGTTCTGATTCTATCAGATGTCTGGTTGAAAAATGAATATAATAATCACTGGAATATATCGTTGTTTCACTGGTGCATCGGATATAAAGACCTTCGCCTAGCATCGACTAGCGGTTTTTCTCCGCCCTATAATTGAAGCACGTCAAATGCTGAATCGTTGTGTTTGTACCGCGCGTTTCCACGCAAATCTGCTCTGGGTCAGGCACGGTTCAGCGGAGATTAGTAAAAATCGATGAATTTTGCAAATATCGAAGATATTTACGTGTTACATTTTGTTCAACCGGTTGTATTTTTTAAAACAGCAATATTTCATAATTTGTTAAATGAATTAACATTATTACGCGGTGAAATTATTCTAGATCATACACAAGTTCATTTTTTCGTATAATGTCAGTATTAAGGGTCCAGCAGGCATATTGCGTTTCACACGAAATTGTAAACGATTCTGGAACGAAGATTCATGAGTTCGATCAAAGTGAGATACGAACTCTCTAAGATCGTAGAGAAGCAATAAACAAAATGTTGCGTAAGACGCTCTTTATTTATACCCACCTGTACTACGTTAGTCAAACGTATAGAAAATAAACGTACGTAGCGGGAAAAAACACTGATAACATTCCGCAGAAATTGCATCGAAAGAAAATCTTATTCGTTGAAATCTCTGTTTCCTCAATTCAGAATTACACACAGACGTTCGAACAGCACGATTCATATGTAGATAAAACGTGATAAATTTAAGGTGAAATTTCTTATGCGGAATCAAGTGACCCAAATTCATAATAAATATAGAAACGTCGCGTCGTTTAACGTTTCATCAGAAATATTACACTCAGTCGGTACCTGTAAGTCGTTTGAAAACGATCTTAATCTCGTCAGTTCGTTGTAACATGCGTGATTGGATCGTAACCTATCAGTCTCGACCAATCATTGTCAACGCTTCTATTGTCAGCTAACAGACAGATTTTTAACAGTTGACAGTAGTGGCGTCTTTTACTTCACGAGGCATCATATTCAAAGAGACAGCTAAACACATATTCCGACACCGTATATGACGTACTTACGAGCAAGGGGTTTCCTTAACCTTGAACATCGTAAAAAATGGAACAAATCCGTGAGTGAAACGTGATGATATTCGCTCGTCCTGCTCTCTTTTATCGGTGCACCGTACTTTTCGCGCCACACCTTCCGCTCGAACGAATAAATCGCGGGAAGCCGCGATAACGTTCGATTCCGGGAAGACCGGCAACCGACTGAGTCGATAAAGTCACACTAATGGGTGAATATAGCGGCTTTCTAAAGCTTACGTGTCTAAAAAAGACACTGCTCGTTCGGTCGTTAAAATCCTTCACACGTAGAACGTGTCACCGGTTTCTTTGCATAGCATACGTTTACATATTCCCTACTACACGTACATTTCACTGTCACACCGTTCGAATTCCAGGCGACACTGCTCGATAGGCATGGTACACGCGTGCGGGGGACCACTTATTTCCTCTGACAGGTAAGGAAGAAAACTCGACGAATGTTGAATGAAACGAAACCAGACGAAACGTCGGGATATCTCTTTTAACAGAACTGTCAAATAGGTACACTTGAATAACGAGAAGATCGAGGATTTATCGTGAGAATCGTGGAAGGATAAACTCGACCCAAAAACAAACGTCACGATGTTACGTCGGCAACGCGCGGCCACTGACTGACGGACCGGAGGTCGCTGCGATTGGCGGGCCCGTTGGCACGCGCGACTTCACGAACCCGGGAAACCGAGCTAGACCAATCAGAACGTTTCCTACCGCGGCCCGGTGTTCCGGACGCAGTGCTGTAAAATAAAGGCGCACGCCTCGATGGATCTTTTAACCAGAAAATCTTCCGAAATATATTTCAAGATTTACGCAAAGAATTTTCCCCTCAATATTCGTACGACAAATTTCCATTTAAAAAAAATCCCATATTCGTTAAAAAATAATAAAAGTAACTTTGCATTTCCATAGGTAACGATGGATAAATCGAACTGCATCGAGACACTTCTCTCCCATGTTAACGTTCAGAAGAGTACGGAAAAATAGTTCGATTTAATTACCCGATCCCCTCGAGCGATTTCTTATTTCCAAGTAACGACTGATTTGAAATGCAAATTTCTGGATCCGTCACTGGTCGGATCGGCCGCCGTTAGCCGCCTCCACCACCTCCCTGGCCTATTGATCGACCCCCAAACGAGCAAGAAAACGCGAGATCAGATGCGCCATAACACCAGCACTCTCCCATGAAGGCGAGAGAATGAACTGTTCGTCGACGGGGTTGCACGCGTTTTGTCGTGGGTCGAATCGTCGGCCACCATGCTCTGACCTCCTGCTGTCGCTTTCTGATGCAGTAGCAACGCGTGGCACATGATGTTCTAAAGGGGCGAGGGTGGGGGGAAAGCGTGCCACTTGTGGGTAAAGGGGATTTTTTTTTCACCGCCCCACGTATACTGAATAGTTAACGTCGAAAGCCACTCTCTCCCTATTCAACGGGGGAGAATGGAAACCAGACGTGTCTTGTTTATTCTCGAGCGACACCTCTTTCCATCTCTCTTGCTTGAAT